TATTGAAAAAAAAATTACGCTCTTAAAAATTATAGGTTTACACACCTAATTATGTAAAATGCATTGTGTATACTTAATTTCCAATAACATAAGTCCAGGCACTGTTCTCACTGATTTCATAATGAAACTGTTTGGAAGAATTATGCATTTAATATTAATATTGCTTTCATATTATTAATTCTCTATCCGATTATTAATATTACAATAATACAACTCTCTGTCTTCATGATAGTAAATTTATCATCTAATAATTCTTTATATACTGTTTAATGCAACTTAATTACTAACTAGTGAAACCCGATCTCGGTCCTTCGTATCTATAGCTAGATGTGTGAAAAACATCAATTTCTTGAAACTACTCAGGCGCCACCTATCGTACGTTTATAGTACTATGACAAACATTCCCTGCGGTGTCAACAACAACGTATCATCACAATCTAGTAAAAGGTTTACGAACGCATAAAGGGCAACACACACAAATATAACTATTAATTCATATAGATAATTAGATATTTAATTCAGATCAAATATTAAATTCAAATAGGTAAAATAAAAATAATAATAATAAAAGCAAATTATAAATACTTCAAATCATATTCAGTCTCTAACTTAAAAAAAATATATGGACGGATTGTCATAAACATTACTTTTAAATTTGTACTTAAATTAAATAGAGGTGACTTTGAAACATGACATATTAACCTTGTTTAATTACAAAATAAACAGATATTGATGTGAGTACACAAAAGGATAGTATTGGCAGAAATAAATTACGGATAATATAATATTATGTTCTTTACTAACATCTACAAAATCTAAATAGAGAGACAGGAAAGTGCTATACACCTTTCACATATAATGCTAATCTATTTAAATCAATGTGTCCCAAATCACTAATAATTGCTTATTACGTTATCTTATATAAATATATAAATTTTCGAGACTATAACTAGATTGCTTTCATATCTAAGGCGTTTATAAGAGGTTTAACATTGCTTTTATGATAGCAAGTCTTTTGATTTATGAACATCAGTTTACGTGAATAATTCTACATAATCTATTTAACGCTATTTTAGAAGCTACCTTTCTCCATGTTCAACTTATCGAAACTGTACTTATTTATATGACGTATAATTGCTCACATATAACACATTTAGATCGATTTAAAATAAAGTAACTATGAGGGACCTACTACTGTTTACGCATTATTATAAATTTACAAACTTAATTACGAGCAGAACAGACATAATTAAATAAAAAAAATCATGACGTTATAATTTACACTCCACTTCGCGCTCTATTTTAGGCTTTTAATTTTATCTGGAGATTCGTGGGCTTCTGTGATTTATCTAAATGAAACTGAACCGTACTCTATTTAGTCAACTTGCTTCTATAACTTTATTATATATATTATGTTCCTCTAAATAAGCCCGTGTTCACCGGTACTATGAATACCAGAAAGATACGAGATAAAAACTAGTATAGTACAGTGTAACTCGAACGCCAAGTATATTTAAATATAATGATTCCAACCGAGAATAATGGTTAGGGTTACCAAGTAATAGGCGGACGTGCCAACCTTGTATTGCTACCGTTTTTTTAACGTTAAAGGAACAATAAACAAGGGATACGAACCGCTGCATTAGTCCTCATCCTCATATATATAGTAATGCCAGCTGTCTTAAATATCTTACATTGAACTGACGAATGTAGTTTCCAGAAACTACTAATAAAATATAGTTCCAATAAATACGTCTTATAACAACTTAATAACGGATTTTAAGGATTTTAAGTATTTTTTTCCCAACACGCTGGTAGCCTTGGACTATTTCAGCTACGCGCGGACGGGTACGTGAGCTCACGGGCTCAAACTAAGGGCGAATTTACATTACGAAATTAGTGGCATGAAATTAATTTCGTGACATTATTTTAACCATCAGTTTCACGTGTAATTTAACATTTTCGTAATGCGTGCATTAATTTCATGAATGCAAATAAGTTTCGTGCCCTGCCGATTTTTTTGTGAAATTAGTGTGCAACTAATTTCATAGTGTAGACGCGACATGAAACTAATGTCGCGAAAGGGCCTGCGCTGTGCGGACGTGTGTATTTTTAGCTCGCGTGCGCTTCAAGAGTTGTAAATGGCAACCCAACGATGGAGTACAGATAAAAATATAGAATTAATTATTGAATATCAGCTACTAAGTGTCTTTGGGACCCGAAACACCTACAGTAAAAAATCAAAATTATCCTCATTCGAAAATAGTTTTTATAGCTCTCAGGATCTTCATCTGCTAATTCAGAGACTAACTTAATTGCACCTAAATGCCTTCTGGTTAACCATCCTCGAATCTAACAACGTCTTTTTTTCTTGATAGTCTTTTTTTAAGTTTTTAGGTATATAAGCATTTCTTTAGCTACATTGAATATAGCAAAATATAGCTTTGATGCTGATGGCGCCATGGTTAATGCGATACTGTGGATTTCGCGACACTAATTTTTTTACGAAATTACTTTCGGATATATCGAAACTACTTTCGTAAAACTGACTTTAACATGCATGACACTAATTTCGTAATATAAATTCCGCATAAGAGAAATTTAGGGCCGCGTGAGTGAGTCGAGCGATCCCTGTGTAGTTGACTAAATAGAGAACAGTTTATTTATTATTCACATATACGAATAAAACAAAAAGGGCGTTTTTTAAAAAAAAAAAACAATATATTTTTCGAAAGCGTGGAAATGTTACAAAGATGCAAGACTCTTTTACCAATAAAATAATATTGTAAAATTACTTAATTAGAGATGGCACACATGATTTTGTTGAACTATATTCGGATATCATTCTAAAGTGTTTCGTATCGATTAACTATTCAGTTAGTCAGACTATAAAGCTAAAACTTATGAGATGATTAAATGAATTAAACTTTTTTTATTGTTAACCTTTTTGACTGTCTGAGATATTTTAAAGTAAGACATAAAAAAATCGATACGTGGATACGATAACTGAATGTAACAAGAATAATAGAAATCGCACGATTGTTTCGCAGCCGAAACAAGACATAACGATGCCTAACCTCGCGCGAGCACGTAATATCGATAAATTTCTATTAAAGAACTATGTAATTAGCTAAAACTATAGGTTATTATTTTTAAAGCTGTATTGAACATGTGTAATTTATGTGTTTATTAATTTTTATCTTATAATATTTGAACAGCTGTATTTAACGAAGCACAGCCCACATTTCTTTTATATTTCAAACTATGAGTAATCAAAATGTTATTATGTTGTACATTACACTAGTTTATTGAGCCTTTCTTTAAAAACTGTATTTTTCTTTTTTTTCCTGATTAAGAAATTTTGACAACATGATACTGCATAAAAAAATATTTATTTCTAGGACTAGTAATAATTATTGTTTAAATGAATAAAGCAATGTTGTCAGAACTATTAAACCGGGTGTGTCTAATTGTTAATGTTTAGATTTTTTATAGGTTATAGTGGTTAGGGGACCGCTTCCGAAAACGAAGACAGACGATAGTACTAATGACACCTTTGATGATAGGACGCCAAAAAAAATCAATCCAGATTTTTAAAAAAACATGTTTTTAAAACGTTTGATTATTAGTTTTATAAAAAAACCCAGCAGTGAAACACTAAATCAAAAACAGCTGTTGCTCGGATTACTGATCCATTGCTGGTTTTTTTTAGTAATGATTTTTTTATGAAACTATCTTTTCATTTAGCTGTACTATCACGACAGAGCGTAAATAATGCTAATAAAACCTTTTAAAAAAAATGCTGTTTTTAAATCAAGATCGGTTTTTTTCCGTCGCATCATCAAAGGTGTCATTAGTACAATAGTCTGTCTTCGTTTTCGGAAGCGGTCTCCTAACACAAAGTGTATTAATCTTAGACAGCATCAAACACGAATCGGTGAGACACAATTCTTATACAAAATACGCCATTGAAAGAAACGAATATTTTATTAAGTTAAATACGTTTCCAATGCCCTTATCTTACGCAAGTTTTTATAATATTTCGATTAAATACTTTTTAAATTTATGGAATTGATTGATAAAAATAATGCATTATTGTACATTTATAAAAATATATATGAATCTAATTAGTTACTATATAAAAAGCTGTCAGCTCGGACTTTTTTCACTCTTTAAAACGTTACTCTACCAAAAGTATAATATGCAACGCATTTTATAAATCTAACACCGTAGAAATTTATTTATTCAATTCGATATTTTTCTCAAAGATATTTCGCTAAATTAAATAATTTATTTTCAAGCTAACTCCTCAGACCGTAAATCAGCCGCTATATCCGTATTGACAACATAGTTAATGTTTCATTTTTATTTTAACCATAAATACGAATTAATACAATATAATATAATATAATATTATACTCGTTTTCTAACAAACAGTTTAACTGATATTATTGCGTTTCTCACTGTAAGTTTTTAATGTAATTCTCAAATAGCTTCTTACATATTAACCTATACCTAATTAATGGGGTTTTTTGTTTTACATTACACATCTAACATATACATTTTCATGAGAAATTATCACTAGCGTGTCGATACATGTTGTAATTAAATTGTTACGAAAATAATTTTAACGACTACAATGACACATCAGACGCAGCGTGACTACAAACGTGGGCTATTTAAAAGCCAATGTGCTGAACCGTATTTATTTATTGAAATGCATGTAAACGGTACACAAAACGACACGTAAACAAAAGCAACGAGGCACACGTCGAATATTACATTTGAGACGATTGAAAATCTATACGTACCAAGCAACAATTACAATTACATAATACATTAATCTAAACGAACAGTTGTAATTCGATTTAGTTCTCGGCGTATCTTGTTCTAATAATCAATAAAAATTACATTTCATTTGTTCTTCTTTTTTTTTAATTTTAAATAAGAACAAAAAGTCACTGTAAAAAATATATACAAGTAAATAAAATAAGACAAGAAATACACTCAGATCGTCTATTACTATTTCAGATCGTAAGCGTCTGAATGAGATTCAAGGTAGCGTTGGTTTATAATTCTGCCAGAGTCAACGACTGGAGTGAGCAGATCTTCAGAAGGTACTTGTATGCGAATCCTATTGTCAGAGGGCACATTGTTGGTTCCGTTGGACGTGTAGAAGCCAAGGGAGATGGGCTTCAAGTGGTCATCGGTGTACGTTTTATATTTTTTCGGACTTACGGGATGAAGGTGCGACGGGCTGGCCGTCAGGGGATTGTAGGTGACGTGGATGCGGACCACGTCGTCCGACATGGGGGACGCGGATGGGGGGTGGGGGGTCGCCCTTGGTGTGGAGTGGCTCGTCGATGGCGCCCTCTGTATACTCATCCCGCAAACGCCCGAACTGAAATCACGTACGAATAACACATTTGACTGTATCGTAAATATCTATACTAATATATAAATGTATAGTTGTTTTTGCAGATGTTCCGTTATAACTACTGAACCATGCATCCGATTGACTTGAAACTTGGTATCCATGTAGAAAATATGTACATGTACTTAATGGATAGGCTAATATTTATATGAGTGTTGGACTCCCTACACCTGTTGCGGGGGCGTTAATGATGAGAATCTTTGTGGGGGTAAGAAATAATAATGTTAATTTTAAATGCCCAGCGGAACTAAAGGAACCCTTGTTTTTTATCTCTACTGAACTTATTTTTATAGATATAAAATTTAAAATTCAAATATCTAATTCAACAAAACCAACAAAGAATAGAAGGACTTAATTTTGAAAAAAGAACAAATAAAAATATTGTATTTAGTTAGACTATTTTAATACGAATCTAATGATATTTTTTTGTTATTGCTTATCTGATGGGAGGACGACGTTACGGCCCACCTGGTGTTAAGTGGTTACCGGAGCCCATCGACATCTACAATGTAAATACTGCCACACATAATGAGTTATGAGTTCTAATGTCTCAATTTTAATATCATGAAATGAAGCAGTGATCGCATAATGTGACAGTGCGGTGTGCGGTTAGTGGCATGCGTGACAATTCTAAAGGCTTCGTCAAACAGAACGCGTACTTAGCGCTGCGTTTTAAGGGCGCGCTCTTTTAGTATCATACAAATTGACTAGATGAGCCCAACGCTCCTTGACGCAACGTAACATTCGCCAAATTATAGTGCCTTTCGATAGCAGTGTGAACATTTAAAAGAATTAAGATGTCGAGTGATTTGATTCAGATGCGGCATTGTATAAGCAGAGGTATTTTCTAAGTAATTCTATCAATTTTTCGGGCATTATCCAGTATTTTAATACATACACAAGGACGCTAAAATAAAGTTTGTAAAAAATTACAACGCCTGACGTCGAAGCGCACTAACGCCGCGACAGAGCGTTGCGTACAGTTAGCGCTGGGGCTCTGTTTGACAGTATGCTACCATTGTAGTACAACACATCTCGGCGTCATAGCACGCCGTTAGCTTAGCGCTCTGACGCGCGTTAAGCACGCGTTCCGTTTGACGAAGCCTTAAGCAAAACAAACTAGCTGATATTCGAACAATGTTTTGCGGCGTGCGGCGCTACATCTACAGAAGACATCTCACCCATCTGACCCTGTGCCGTCGTCGCTAACGTTGCTGTGAGTGTCGAGGGAGTTGTCCGGCGCGTGCGACCGTCCGCTAGAGAACACGCTCAGGTCGGCCGTGCTCGTGACACTCGTGTCCGCGAGAGACCTCCGAGACCCCAGACCCGACACCGAGTCGTCGCACCGGACACCGCTCGCTAAGCCACTGTGCTCTGTCATGAAAACATTTACTAATGCTGTACTAGATCCATTCTAACATATGTTATTGACAGCATATCAAATTTAAGCTATTACGTACGAAAACGTATTTTAAGCAACTATGGTAATGACAAAAACGAAGCGTGTTTAAAAAAAACGATATGCGCATGCACGATATAACAAACACTAAAAGGTTATTTACTTACCTTATATTTAACGTAAATACATTTTATAACGTTTCTTAAAGGAAATTCATGCAATTTTGTGTTCTTAAAAAAAAACATCTCTGCTAAACTTTGATAAACAATAAATAAATAAAAACAAATGAACGATTAATGAGAACTAGTTGTTTATATATTTAATTATAATAGATAACTTAAGCATTTAACGTTTCCTTTTAGGTTTCGAAGCGTTAATGAGATAACTTTTTTGTTCATTATTCGAGTAGGTATTCACTACGGGCGGCTTCATATGAATGTTCATAATGTTCATACGGGCTTGAGATGTGTGAAGGGGCACATCATAAGTAGTATTCGTATCTGTGATCAAAATATTTCCTTCGATCAATACAATTGTGAACTATTATTTTGAAACTTCATAAACTATTTAGAGGTCGTGATTGTTGTTGAAAAACATGCGCCAATATAAACTCAATGTGTAGTAGTTGATTTAAAAAAGCCGAAAACTTTCGGTAGGCAATGATCGCAACATTATTGATATATTTTTGGTGCGTAAACTAATTCACAAATGATGTGAAGAGAGTAATTTAAGAAATGTAACAACTTTTCCATTCAATTTCCCGGTATGTACTTTGAAGGATGATTAAAATCGAACTCCATCATACAGCCACGGGCGGCAAAACTAAAAAAAATTAGATTAAATGTCCGTATTCTTTCTAATACTTATTTCGTGTTCGGGGAATCAGTACAAATTACATTGGTGCTGCTTCTGAATTAATTTATTAACATTAATTTTCGGATTTACGTTGCTTCAATATCATTACAGACAAACTAAAATAGCTTACTACTAAAAAACAAAATAAATCTAATACTACGGTGTTTGATCGTTGTTCAAACATCTGCGAACAATTTTAAAGATGACAGGGGTGGGTTTATGTTTCTCTTATCAACATTCAGCAGAGATTCTTTTTAACAACACAAAAATCGGTTAGCTACGAGTCATATTAAATAATAATGTAAGCTTATCGATGAAAGGTACACACCGCGTGCAGTTCAAAGATGGTAGTTTCAGGATTGAAACACGTTAGATTATGTAAACGATACCAGAAAAAGAAAGAATAGCGTTTTCAAGAAGATGGCGCACACAATGCGAAGAGCCTGGCTTCACTCAAGATTCAAGGAGCGGAGGTAATGAGATTTAAAGCTTGCATAATGCGAGAATAATGGAAATTATCGTATGACGGTAACTCCTTAAATCTTAAGTAAGGACGTGTTAATGAGAAATAGTGTTAATAATGACATAAACCCACCGCCATAGCACCAGTCAAAATGCCACCGCAGACGCTGCTACAACGGTAATTATCACCTACGTAGCTTCAACAAACTGCACGTGCTACAGTGAGATTTCAAATTTAGGCAAGCATGTTAAATACAACGCGGCTGAATTAACTATATAGTATATTATATATGTATTATAATGCTTTCGAAATTGATAACGCCATATTTGCGAATCTTATGAAATTAAACAGCATTTTGAACATAGCAATAACGTTTTAACACACACACTATTTTGCTGTATTATATAATTTCATCATTACCAATTCATGCTTCTAAAAATGAAAAATGTTCGTATGAAAAACAGTACTCAAATTATTTACAGTCGCTTGTACTGGACTACGTACTGGTGGTCCCGAATTTCTACGAGAAAGTGTTACACAATTAATTCAACCATGCTGTATTATTATTAAACACTAAATGTACATAACACAAACGATTCTGGCAAAAAATAATAAGCATTTTTTTTATTTTATTTTATGTAGACTACAATTAATCAGATTACATGAATTAATTAAATATACGTATTACGAAATGAATTATTTTATTTTCATTTTAAATAATCTTAATTGAAAATACTACTACTACTAGTTTTGTACTAAATTTTTACTTAAAATATGGGCTTTGAGATACGCAAACGAGACGGGACGCAGAAGGGTAGTCAGTCGCTTCGTCTACTTAGAAAACATTACAAGGGCCAGAGAACACGAATCCGTCAAAGTTCATTGTCTTGAAAAAGTATGCGCCGATTTGAAATTTCATATATGAATATATTTTTTTAATTGATATATTAGTAATTAATAAATAATTAATATTTAATTGATTGTATGGGACCATTGAGAAACACCGAAGCCTTTACACACGTTAGTCGAAACTTGTTACACACAATATCTATATAAATAAGGCAAATATAAAATATTTATTTCTATTGATACATATTTTCTACCGTTTGTCAAACGATATTTTTATCTTTTTATTAGTAAATATTGACGAGCTGTGTTGTCAATGGTTTTTTTTTTAAATTCATCTTTTTCTAAATTCTAATTAACAAGACTGAACAAAAAATGTATCAAGTCTTGAGGAATCAGTGATTACGTCGACCTTTGATCATTGGGCGTATACTGATTATAAAAAGTAGGCTTAGAGATGAATGTGTTAGAAGCCTTATAAAGTGCAGGCAGTGGGTAATTTTAAAATAAATAAAGACCCTACAATGAGATTATTTAATATTTTAATGGCCTACTCGTGTTACGACACGTTGACAAAAAAACAAAAACAAAATAAAAATGCCTATTGCTTATGAACAAAGCTGTGTCACGTTACGTTATCTCAATCGCGTTCCTCAAAGCCTTACCTACAAATTGCACTAAATATACTATTCAAAATAAATTCTTAGTTTTAGTTCGACTTCAATATTTATAATTTCCTAATATCTTTAGAACGTTTGTGACTATTTCATGCATGTGCTATCGCACTTTTATTTTACAATTAATTGATGTTTTTTATTTATTTAGCACAAAATCACATGCTGACAGCGTAAAACGACCACTGGGCAATATCTCTGCTAAATTATGTATATTTCTCGGTTATGATTAGCACAAAATATGATATCTCCCATTTAACGAGACTGATGATAATAAAACAGTAATTTTTCATGAGGAAAATTAAGCATGCCATCTTAACATTACAAATCAAAATCATTTAACATTTTTAACATTTATATGTACAACATGCAGTAAATATTTAGATTTCATTTTAGTAAACTCGTCTGTGTTACCTGAAGATCGATCTTGTTTAGGTATTATTTGAATAGAGTACTTTTTTACTTGCAACTTTTTTTACAGTGACATCAATTCATTATGAGATTTGAGCATCATGCTTTCGTATCTTACATGACGATAGTCAGTGCGGCTATTATTACGAAGATACGGTGATATGACCGGTTCATTCTAGTTACTTCTACTTTTAATACAAACGAATTACTCTTTCAGTTACATCTCACCTTATTCTTCTATTAACATTTCCTTTTAATATCCGGACTAATGATGGTCTACTAATTGATACTAGGAACCTACCAATTACTGGCGGGAAGAAACTAAGAATTCGGTTACACTTCAAATGTAAGACAAAATGGTGTTTCGATACAATTTTTTGGCACATGTCTTATGATTTGACGGTATTTACGTCATGACCGTGGTGTCCGAGAATCAGAGTAACCAGTTAATACCGTTTATTTATTAAGACTAATTAGACCGTGAGCTCGTGTGCCGTGCGTCTTAAGCATTTGGAAAAAAATACTTTGAATGAACTTTATTTTGAATAATAAATTAACATATACACTGATTTTTTTATGGTACAATTTATTTTGCACGCACTCTATTAGTTTGCAACAAATTATCAGTGAGATATTCAAAAAGTAGATGTGTTAAAAATTCATTTAAATTTTAGATGAAAGCATTTTGCGAACTTTTTTTAAACAAATCACATAACATACAATATTCAAGTATTGTATCATAGTCATGCATCAGTACAATAAGTACTACGTTTGTATACGTAACAGATTTACTTATAAAAACAATATGGATGTATGATGAATTGTGTCACTGTTAATTGTTCAATGTTACAAATGCGTAAAATGATCTGAACCAAGGCTCTCATAAGACTCAGATCGCGATATGGTAGGCGTAATATCCAAATTACCTGAAACCGTATCGCTTTGAGACACCCGAAGTTCCTGTAGCTCCAACGCTGCTTTCTCTCTTCTGAAACGAATAATTTTTTTAAAAAGATCCTTCAAGCAAACTTTGTAATCTAAATATAAACAAAGTGTTAAAATACCAGTTTCAGAGCCGACATAGGAATAAACAACAAGCCCAGTGTGAATTTTCATCGTATTATCCGCTTGTTACTTGATTTGTTGTTGTTGAATATGCATATTATAAAGTTAACCATAATTTACTGAAGGTGCAACTTTGGTGTTAAGAATCACAAGCACAAGTGATACAATATCCCTTTTTCTTTCATGAATAATCCTAATACACCCTTTATTTACTTTACCTTAATATCACATTAGCTCTGGCCTGTTTTTCAGTCTCAGAAAAATTTTCAGCTCGCTGTCCGATTTTGGATTTTTTATCTGGTTCGACGAAAACACCCAAAGGACGTTTAGGAAGTTCGTTAGGTGGTGGAAGTCCTGGATAGTCGAGCTTCGCTCTCTTCAATTCCTCCATGGACTTCTCTAATTGATAAATAACTATATCATCTTCATATCCAAAATCTTTATGAAGTTTAACCTGCAATGAAATAAAATTTGTAATGTAATTAAGGTAATCAATCAGTTATTCTTTCAAATATATTATATTGTACAAAAAATAAAACCTGGATATAATTGACAATTAAATCCATGTCATTTAACTTCATGATGGTTTTTTTGTGCAGTTTGAGTATTGTATAGGCCATAGCTGTGATAACCCTTTCTCCATCCAAAAGATATATATCCCAAACTCTTAAACAAAGGCTAAATGGCACCCTTTCAACAAAACAAACAAAAAACCATTTCAGTGAGTAAAGTATAGCATCCAAGCCAAATTTATCAAAGTGGCGCTTTAACTTAGGCATAAATTTAGTGAGTATCTTATCATGGTGTTCTAGAAATCTCGTTAACTTTGGAAATCCTTCTATATATAATCCATGCATTGCGTACTTCTTGTCTGACAAGAGTACTGCAAGTGCCCAGAACGCATCTTCCTCGTCCATATACATTAAGAGCACACCAGCCAATCCTGACATGCCTTGGCAATAGCCCACTTCAGAGTTATATAAGCTATATGCACATAGAACATTGAATAAAGAGCACTGTTTCTCAGAATATCTCTCTCTATAGAATTGATGTTCTCGGAACTGCCTATTTACATCAGAATCAATTTGTCGAACGTCAGTAGACCAAAGTTTAGCTAATTTTAACATCTCTCTATATTTTCCAGGATTGTCAGATCTCATTCGGTTTACATCTAATAACTTGCTCCATACTCCTATACGAAGTGAGTTTGGAATGCCCTTATAAATTCTACGATGCAGTTTTTGTTTGGTTTCAGACGTGCCCCATTCTTCTAACATCTTGAGCCATTTCTTTTCTCTTTCAAGTTCAATGTTAATCTTTTGCGGCGCCGTTTTCTGCGGCAAACGTTCGTCGTGAATGAAGCCATACCTGGAAACAAAAAGAGTAATCTTTGTTGAAATTGGTTGATTAGCAATTACATAAATAAAAAAAAACAGGTTTTATTAAGAATTTTAATTTGATAAGTGAAAATGCTATAAATGTAAGTTAAATTTAATCATATCAAGAGACACTGAGGGATATTCGTTAATTTAATATTTCTTAAGGTATAAACATGTAAAAAATGATGTCTTACTAAACATTAAGCATATGTAAAAAGCACCAGTATGTGAAAATTTTTATTTTCTAAGCTTGACTTTTTAGGTTTTTCCTAAAAGTCCTTTCTCTGTAAATTCTCTGTAAATTTCCACCATTATACTGAGGGAGGATTTCATTTAATGTCATCTCATTTTTTTTATTTATTACTTAGATGAGTGGCCGAGCTCACAGCCCACCTGGTGTTGGATGGAGCCCATAGGCATCTACGACGTAAATGCGCCACCCACCTTGAGATATCAGTTCTAAGGTCTCAGGTATAGTTACAATGGCTGCCCCGCCCTTCAAACCGAAACGCATTACTGCTTCACGGCATAAATAGGCAGGGCGGTGGTACCTACCCGCGCGGACTCACAAGAGGTCCTACCACCAGTAATTACGCAAATTATAATTTTGCGGGTTTCATTAATATTACACAATGTTATTCCTTCCATGTATATAGCCGACGTGGTGGTAGCTTAAAGAAGGTGTTCGCAATTATGAGGTCAATACACATGGCCATCACCAATGCACACAGTAGACCGCGTAGTCAGAAACCAAATTGACTATGTTATGATCAACAGAAGGTATCGAAACTGTATCAAGAAGGTGCAAACCTACCCCGGTGCAGACATTGGGTCAGATCAAAACCGTAGACGTAGCATGCAAGCTGAAGAAGTTGCAGCCAAAGAGAATGGATAGAAGGCCAAACATACGGAAGCTTGCTGAGCCCGACACACGAGCGCAGACCCACACCGCCATTAATCAATGGGCCAACGATCGTCGTACTGAAACCACTGCCTCTGACCTCGACACGTGGACTAATCTAAAGCGAAGTGTAAAAGATATATGTCACCAATATCTCTAACCATCACAACTGGTCAAAAAACAAGATTGGATGACAGATTCAATTTTGCAGCTTATGGAAAACAGGAGGCAATTTAAGGGTACAAATCCAGTAATGTATAAGCAAGTCGATGTCACCATTCGAAAAGAGATTGCGAAAGCTAAGAATGATTACTACAGCAATAAGTGCGCGCACTTGGAAGATCTCCTTCGTAAACATGACAGCTTCAATGCGCACAAGCACATCAAGGAAATGGTTAGTCATAGACGGAAGTCAATGAATACTCTGACCGATGCCGGTGGGAATCTCATTCTTGACACCGATGGCAAAAAGAGTGTGGTGTGACTATGTTGCAGAGATGTTTGCAGACTTATCAAAGAACATTTCACCGATCACTGATCGGACTGGTCCAGCTATGTTGAGGTCTGAGGTTTTGCGGGCCTTGAAAGCTGCTAAAACAGGTAAATCACCGGGTCCTGATAATATACCGATCGAAATACTAAAGTTGCTGGAAGAAGATCAACTGGACGTTCTCACACAGTTCTTCAATAACATCTACGAAACTGGCAATCTTCCTAGTGACTGGCTAAAATCCACATTCATCACGATATCCAAGAAGCAAAACGCTAAAAAATGTGGAGAGTATCGTATGATTAGTCTTATGAGCCATGTCCTAAAAGTATTCTTGAACATCATACAGAATAGAATACGGCCAAAATGTGATGAACAACTGGGCGATAGCCAATTTGGATTTCGATCTGGTGTTGGCACCAGAGAAGCTCTTTTCGCTCTCAACGTTCTCGTATAGAAATGCAGAGACATGCAAACTGATGTCTTTTTGTGCTTCATAAATTACGAAAAGGCATTTGACCGAGTTAAACATCATCAACTTTTCAGCCTTTTATATGACATTGGTCTGGATGGTAAGGACGTCAGAATCATTCGCAACCTGTACGAGAAGCAGGTGGCTACGATAAGGGTCGAAAATGAGGAAACCGACCACGTTGAGATCTGTCGTGGGGTCCGGCAGGGGTGTGTCTTATCCCCGTTGCTTTTTAATGTCTACTCAGAGGCTGTGATGTCAAAAGCTCTTGAAAACCTTGAAGTGGGAATAGGAATCAATGGCAGGGTCGTTAACAACTTGCGTTATGTGGACGACACTGTCCTTATTGCAGCATCGGAAGCCGATTTGCAAGCAATTGTAAATAAGGTTAATGAGTACAGCGTGGAAGCCGGGTTGTCGATAAACATAAGCAAGACCAAGTTCATGGTAGTCTCAAGAAACCCGGATTTGAGTTCAAGCGTATCTGTAGCTGGGAAACAACTAGAGCGAGTACAACAGTACAAGTATTTAGGGGCTTGGGTAAATGAAGCATGGGAATCTGATCAAGAAATCAAGACCCGGATAGAAACTGCTCGAGCCTCTTTTAATAAAATGAGGAAAGTTCTTTGCTGTCGTCAACTGAATATAAAGCTCCGAGTCAGGCTACTCATGTGCTATATCTGGCCTATCGTTATGTATGGTTGCGAAAAGTGGACCCTGAAAGAGGACACTACAAGACGCCTACAGGCATTCGAGATATGGTGCTACCGTCGCATGTTACGCATTAGTTTGACGCAGAGCGTCAGGAACGAAACCGTGCTTCAGCGTGTTCATATGTCCCGGAAAATGTTGCCTTCTATCAAAAAGCGCAAGATAGAATATCTCAGCCACGTGCTCAGGAAGGATCGATACATGCTGCTGCAGCTGATAATGATGGGCAAAGTGGACGGAAAAAGACGTGCTGGGCGAAGAAAAAAATCATGGCTCCGGAATATCCGGGAGTGGACCGGTATTGCCTCCGTCGAACAGTTGTTCCGGCTGGCTGCTGACAGAAATGAATACAGGAAGCTAACGGCCAACCTTCAGGATTGAAGAGGCACTGGAAGAAGAAGAATTCCTTCACCGTGGAAGTCAATCGTGAACATTTGTTGAGTACGTATTTCATTAGAAAAATTGGTACCCGCCTGAGATTCGACCACCGGTGCATCGCTCAACGCGAATGCATCGGACGTCTTATCCGTTAGGCCATGACGACTTCAAATATTTTTTATTGCTTAAATGGGTGGACGAGTTCACAGCCTACATAATGTTAAGTAGTTACTGGAGTCCATAGACATTTACAACGTAAATACGCCACCCATCTTGAGATATAAGTTCTAAAGTCTCAGTATAGTTACAACGGCTACCCCACCCTTCAAACCGAAACGCATTACTGCTTCACGGCAAAAATAGGCGGGGTGGTGGTACCTATCCGTGCGGACTCACAAGAGGTCCCACCTACCATCAGTAAAAAAACCCTATGATGTTCAACTCATTTAAGGGATTTGTATGAGAAGGAAAACCTAATAAAAGTACCTATTAAAACAACAAAGAACAGGACATAATCAATGAATACTGATTAACTTAGAATCTCTTATAGCTTTCATGGACAGACAAACTAAGGATTTTTTGAACGTTCATTTGATATAAAGTGGTAATCAATGCTCATGGAGACTAGTCAAGGGCCACTATTACAAAAATCAGAATAAACCTTAGGCCTCGTTTAAAGAAAGACCTATCAACTCACTAGTGGAAAGGTAAGTTTACAATTTTAAGTTTGCAATAAACTACAGGAAGAGCGTGGTCATTGGTGGTCAGTGGTCTGATGATCTAACATGGAAACGGTATCTCCGTCAGTTAAAAATCTGAGTATGGAAGTATTCAGCTCATCACATATTCATTACAAAAGATGTCTATTGGCAATCAAGTTAGCTCAAACACCAAAATACAATGTTAAATCAACAGTTGAATCCTTGGAACCCATGTGTCATCTGATCCCCAAATGTTGTTATGTTAGTTAACTTATAAATTTTCAAATGTGACTTCTTAATATTATCAGATCTACCGCACATTTTTGAAGCAGGAGGAAATCGATGCCTATCCACTAGTGGCTGAAGGTGGGGAATGTCAGATTGCAACTAACTAAAATCTGTCGCTTAACAGCCTCTGAATGAGACAAAATTCATTCATAAATAGATAATGAATAAATATAAACTACGATATCAAACAGCTTTAGTAGTAGTTTAAAACTACTTCTAAAGCTGTTTGATGTTTAGGAACATTTCCAACTTAGGCAAGAAATTATCCAACAGTTTATGCCAGTTTATGTTTGATTACTTTCAAAACTCATGCTCTGTTGTTCACATATTTTTACAGACTACTTAACATTAAGAAAGTGACCTAAAATTAAATTCACAACCAAATTTAAGTCAACAAAGTACACTTCGCATTGAGTCCTCGCATTAGCAAAGCTTGCAGAGCAATTTAAAAAAGTATTGGTTTATTTACATATTATTTCAGTGCTCTTTGCAAATTCTCTTACTATTGGATTGTAAAAATGCAGTTTTTTGCACTAATTGGGTTTTGAGCTATAATCTACCAGATACAAGGCCTATTCTAATGATACAGGTACTTTCCGATATTTATAATATTGTTTTGATGGATTATGTATCTATTTTAACACACATGAAATAGAGCTTTGATCTTAATTTCACAGACCATTACACAAAATTCTAAAAGTAAGTAAATGAACAGCTCTTCTATGGCAACATTTGTACAAATACGCAAATTGCTAGCATGATAATTCTGGCCGGAATTAACCTGCAATCTTTCATTTATACATTTTCATTTTATTATTTTATATGTTAAAACATACTGTCAATCTTCTATGTATGAATATCTTAAGCAAAGCTGTACATCAAAACCAAGCTTTCTTTTTGCTTTCATAGGTAGATATAAGAAACAGCTACAAACCTATCGGTTTTGTGGTACTCTTCAAACTCCGGATCCTCCCAAGGGTCGATTAGACCAACAAGATTTTCACGTCCTCTTTCGTATCTTTGGAAGATCCGCTCCCGCTCCTCGGAAGCCCGTGCCAACAGAGCCTCCTCATTCATAACACTGCCTTGCTGTTCCACATAACTTCACGACCTCTTCTTAACGTCCACCCTACCGAACTTGACACTTTTCTGCAGATTTCACTTTGAATAAATTTTATGCGTGTACTACAAGGCGATTCTGATAAAAATTGCTACACGTAACATTACGCCCATTGAATCTCAATCGTAAAATCTCGGACGCTCTACGACTACACCGTCATGTCAATTGGTAAATTGACTTAACTGTAGAACTATCTCAACAATATTTCCTGGTTCAGAAATAAATGCTGATTTGAGGCACCATAATACCTAGGTACTCGTTCATTCCAATTTTCTCTTTTTTGAAAACTATGTAAATGTCAAAAACGGTACATACCTACATACATTATTATAAAAATTCATTTTATTATTATTATTGAGTGGTAAGTAGGTAGGCAATAGGTAGGTAATAGTGAATATTAGTTACTAGGTAAAAAAAATATACTAGTCTAAAGTAGTCTGGCCATAGATCATACACTAGCGCCTGTACCTTTTCTGATGTAATACACTTTGTGGACTAAAAATGGGTAGGTAATAATAATTATAAAAACGTCGAGATTAATAGTGTTTTAAAAATAGGGCTATCGCCCATTGTTCGTGTTGGAGTTTGAATATAAATATAATGGCAGGCAACACTTGACACATGATTACAGATTTCGAATAGTAGAATTAGTTTAAATGTTTAAAAAACAGATGATTGTATTCTCCTAATAAGTCAGGACTTCTCATCTAGACACGGCAAGAGAAACATGTAATAGTTTTATAAAAAATATAAAGATAATAATTTTATAATGGTGTAACAGTGTTCAAACTATATGCAATATAATTATAATGAAGCAGTGTGTTTTTAAATAGCCCCTCATCAACCTAAAGAACCCAATCCCCTCAAATTTAACCGTCCAACAGTTCGTATGTGAAAAATGTTAAATGCACACAGAAAATAATATTAAAAATAATGTTTTTATAAACAGCGCAATTAATAATTTATTAGCGTTGTAAATTTCATTTTACGGCTTTAACTCAAATTTTCTTCGTCTTCTTCTCAGTCGTGTCACTCTTGACAGAGTGGTCGTGATCGTCATGTAGTGTTGGAAGGGGCAGACTTGATGCGTCTCACAATGTCGCGCCATCTCTCCCTGCTCGAGGTCATTCTACTGCACTCATTTAGGGGACCTCCCACTGCAGTTTTAATTTGGACGGTTCACCACATTGGTGGCCTCCCGCGCGGCCTTGTACCATCAACGCTTTCCTGTACAACGAGGCGTTCCATGGATCGGCCATCTCGTCGCGAAACGTGTCCGAAGAAATTCACCATTCGAGACTGTACTATACCAAATAGACGCTGCTTGATGCCGAGTTCCTGAAGTATCGAGACATTTGGACGAAAGTCGGTCCACGAAACTCCAAGCATTCTTCTCCAGCACCACATTTACAGAGCGTCTATTTTCTTCCTTTCCACGTCTCGCACGGTCCACGTCTCAGCAGCGTATAGAAATATAGAGAATATTAGTATCCTAACGAGCCTGATCTTTGTGGTTTTGGTGATGTTTCTATTTCTCCATATTTTCCTCAGCCCGTCCATCGCCGACCTCGTGACAGCCATGCGCCTTCTGATTTCGTCCATGCATCCGCCATTATTTGAGATTAACGCCCCAAGGTATATGTAGGACTGGACCACGTCGCGACCCGCAATTTGAGTCACGTCCGGCGAGTTATTCATAGCGCGATCGACAACCATCTCCTTGGTCTTAATGCGGTTAATCCTTAATCCAAACTCAAGGCTCACACGTTCTATCCTCGACAGTAACTCCCCCAAGCATTGCGCATTAGTTGCAAACAAAGTGGTATCATCCGCGTATCGCAAGTTTGCAATCCTATACCCCCCAATTGCTACACCATCTGTCTAGTCCTCCAAAGTGATGCGCATTATGATCTCTGTGTACGCATTGAATAGGAGCGGCGACACAATACAACCTTGGCGAACCCCAGCACTTGGATGAAAGTTACTAGAGAGAACGTCATCCGCGCGCACCGAGGCCGTACCATTCTCATATAAGCGTCTCAGTAGGTGCACAAGATGTTTCGAATTCGAACTTCAACAAGGACTATTTTAATATGGGTTTGTGAAGCCAACTAGGTATATTTACTAAAATTTACATTATTATATTTAAAATACTTAATAAAGAAAATTAGATGCCATGTTGCAAAATCAAATTATACCGCTCGCAATCAAATTGAGTCATGACCTCACTGCTGAGGAAAATCAGACATTTATATTTTTCGTATATTAAAAATGTTTTTTTTAATGTAAAATATTTTACATATGCTATTAGATCAGTTTGACAAACTTACTACTTTCAAAAATCATAATCAAGAATAATATGATGTTTTTTTTATGATTGAGGGACTACTGGTGGCCCGGAGGTCTTTCCAGTTTCACCGGGACAGGTGGGCGAGCAAAGGCGTTATTGATGGTATTGGTTTCATAGAGCCAAAAAAACCTCCGGTTTATCATACAACAATGTTTATTTTTACGCTAAAGAATAATACTTGCAGTCATACGTAATGGTGATATTAAATAAATTGGTTACAGCTTGCGTTAATGATAATCAATAATTTTGGATAGCAATGGATAGTCCAATGTTTAATATGTACACAATAATATAATCTATGCTAATATGTCTATCAAATAATTATCTGACTTTTTTGGCGGGAACGCGAGGAGTGAAGTTGGGTGATTTGTTTTATTTTGTCTATTTTGTGTTTTTTCAGATTTAAATGTGTAATAACGGTGGTTTATTAACTGTTTAATATCTGTGAAAGTGCACAAATGTGGGAAAATTAAACAAAGCTGCTGGACGTAACTTCTCGGGATCCTCCAAAAAGTCTACTGAAAAAATCTTAGTAAATGACCACCATTTTACTGAGATTATATTTCATTTCATTTAATTTCATCCCAGTTGATTAATGTCACAAATAATAATTAATTGTCTTCGTTTCATTTCATTTCACTCCATATTATCATTTTTCATAAAAATAAGAACAACAATCAAAACAAGACATGACTTAAAAGTCTTAGTTACCAGGTCATAAAACTCTTTTAAAAAAATAATTAAGTATGAGCGTAGTGACGTTTACATTACCTACATTTATGTATTTTTGTTGAATTTATTTTGTCATTTAATTTAATATCGCCGAACTGTACGCAACGCATAAAATTTTTATATTATTAATTCGTTTGAATAGTTCTATAATTTAAATTAGGACGAAGTATTCAAGATGAACCCGTTGGCGCAGGTGAGTAATAAAATTAAATATTTTTTTGTTTAAACTTAGTTTTCGGATATCTTGTACTGTAATTTTTAGCTCATCAACCTCTTATTTATTATTTCTCCAAATTCTGACACTCGGGAAAATTTTATTTTTATAAAAGTAAAGTGTCAAAGTCCAAAGTTCATAAATTGTTCCACACGAAGTCTATTGAATAACACCTTCTCTTCATATTTCTATTGTTGCAGAACATTTTAGAGAGACATTTAGATTAACAGTCTATATTTTTATATCGGCTGTAGTTATGTAAATTTCAATGATTACTTACATAAAAAGAAAGGTAATGCTATATGTAATGCAGGTAAAAAAAGTGGGATAATTAGAAAGGCCATTATTTCACAAATGAATTTGGTTTTTAATCATAAAAGAACACCTTTTTTTTGAGTATGTAAAAAGCATCCCCTGCAATTTCACTGGTGTTATATTTGGATGACGTGTCAAGCTCACCTTAAGTAGTTTTTTTTAATCCTGATGGTACCTGAGCGTTATAAGATATCCTTCTTCAAATGAGGTTCAAATGGAGACCTTGGGAATAGGTATTGATTTAGCTGTGCACTTTGTATAACATGAATGTTTGTACCCATCACCATCTGGTGTGTCAAATGTTAATTTGTCAATAAGTTAATAAAAAAGGCAAAAAAGGATTTGAAATCCAATACAATTAAATTATTTTATATAAATATACATGCATTGTTGAATAAATGATACGTGGAGTATGCTGTAAATTTATTTTTATTTTTATTTATTTATGTACACACAAAAAAGAAGACATAGTACATAGTAATAGGAAAATTATGTACAAAGGCACTGTTTATTTCTTTGAAAAATCTTTTCCAGTAGACCTGCGAGAGGATTATGAGAATAATAATTAAAAGTGATGAGTGTGTGTGTAGAACAACCAAAATAACAAATACAACATGAGAATTATAGTAATGCACATACACATAGCAAATATTGTTAAACTTGAATACAAAATATTATAAGTAACACAGTCTATACGAAGAGTATAGAACAATGATCATTCTAAATTTAACTTTGTTTTGTTTACATGTTTCAACTCTGGTATTTATAAATGAATATTTTTTACTTTACTATATAAGCAAGAAAAAGCCATTACTGTATTAACATTCAAACTTAACATTCCAGATTGTTCGTGCCACTCGCCCTATTTACAGGAAATTATCAACAACTGCAACAACTGCTTCTGCTGCAAAGCCAATACCGACAACAGGCTTTTGTTTCGGTAATTATTTTAATGGTTTTCATTCACTACTAATTTATTAAATTACTAACCTCTAACTACATTCTTCAGAAAGTGATTCACCTAGAGAGTACTGGTCTGGTCAGATAAGCTATAAGCAAAATCTTAGGAACCGAACTACATAAGTGCTTTGTATAAAATAATTTCCGCTTCTTAAAAATCAAGTGATGAATAATCTGCTCAGAATAATAGCAGAACCTCTAATTAAAACCAAAACATATCTTTATATATATATTATGTGTCCTGTGCGTGTGTTTGTCACTGTACTCCTAAAGGGCTGGACCGATTTGAATGATTTTTTTGTATGCATTTGGGTGGCACCCTGCATGGTTTAAATTCACAAATCAGGCTGGCAGATGGCGCTGTAGTCGGTATCTAGGTTATTTATCTATACTACAACTAAACAGCTGGATCGACTTCAATGAATTTTTGCAGGACAATGTCTGTCCGGTAGTTTAATATGTTGTTAAAAATATCCAAAAGAAGCACAGGCTATGGTGCTAGTATCACTATGACTAGACCCCACACATGGTCAATGCATTGATATTTCATAATAATTGAAATAATAATAATTGAATGAATAAAACAAATGTTCACGGTTGACTTCCACGGTGAAGGAATAACATCGTGTAATAAAAATGAAACCCGCAAAATTATAATTTGCGTAATTACTGGTGGTAGGACCTCTTGTGAGTCCGCGCGGGTGGGTACCACCGCCCTGCCTATTTCTGCCGTGAAGCAGTAATGCGTTTCGGTTTGAAGGGTGGGGCAGCCGTTGTAACTTTACTTGAGATCTTAGAACTTGTATCTCAAGGTGGGTGGCGCATTTACGTTGTGGATGTCTATGGGCTCCAGTAACCACTTAACACCAGGTGGGCTGTGAGCTCGTCCACCAATCTAAGCAATAAAAAAAAATTCCTATTATTAATGTCATTTATGTGTATTAAAATTATGTAAGATGAATCCTGTATCTGATTATGTATGATGTATCCTAAGACAGAAAATAAAATATCATCAGGCAAATAGGTATTTATTAAATAAATAAAAAAACATTTTACAATTATAATTATAATGATCTTCTCTGGAATAAAACCAGACAGTAAAAGTAAACATCTGACAGACTATTTACCAACAAATTTAAACAAAATGATAATATTATACATTTATTCTGCTGGTACAACTTTATAGGTACAAATAAATTTAAAAAGTGTATCTTTGAATTGTGATCAATGAGAACAATGAGATAAAATGACACCTTTAATTAGTTTCATGAATTTTAAATACGTTAACAGTGCAGTCAAGCCCATTTTTTGAATACTATAAAGCAAAATATTGGTCCAGACTACTGGTCTAAAATACTATAATTTAGACCATATTAACACAATTAATTATTACTACCCCTTTCGTATTTTAAAATACTGGAGAATGTTAATGTGTGTAAGACGAGCCGACAAAGCACATAACTATGTGTAATCGTTCTACATATTTTAAACATGACAAACCATGGTTTGGTTGCAATGGTGGGTTAGATTGATGCACATAGTTCTCCTTTACTCTACCCATCGGATATTTATTATTGATGATAATCTTTTGGTGACGTAGTGATTTACGCAAATAATTTTTAGTGCGATTAAGTAAATAATAAGTTTGGACATCGTAAAACTTAAGACCATCCAATCGGGTGGAGATTTTATCGTTCGTTAATAAACATGCCAGTCGTTAACAAACTGCAAATCTGAAAGCCAGGCATACATTATGATTTTGATTTACTTTTTTGCGCAAGAAATCGTCTTTTAATGTCAGAACAAAGGGCTCTGAAGAAAATAACTGCTTTATTGATAGCACTGTAAAATAATGAACAAACAGGCCTCTTAAATATCCTTTTTCTTCTTTCCTTTCTAATTTCCCTTTAAACGCAAATGTTTCTAGAAAACAATGCAACTGAAATTTACTTTTGAAGAACATTTTAAATCTCCCATAAGGATTTATTTTTTGTCTTCATTTAACATTCACAATAAATGAGAACCGAGAAGTAGCGCGAACAGAATCATGTTAACAAATATTTGCGAAATCATTGGTAAATGAGTCAATAACAACATATAAAAACGATGTTCTTAGACTTTGATCTTACATATTTGTCATAAAGATTAATAATCATATTGAATATAGAATATTTTATATGATATGACGTCATTTAGAAGTCATTTTATCATTTATTTACCACTTTAGAGATATATTTACAAAGCGATTCGCTTATCATGATATGCAAAGGGCAAAGTCCCAAAATAATTGAATTACAAACCAAACACAAAACGTTTTCGAAAGGGTAAAGATTAGCGTAGGTACCTACTTCTTCGATTATCCAAGGTAAGATTCCAATATTTATCAATGTAAAAAAATGGTATAGATTAGTGTAGGTACCTACTTCTTCCATTATCCAAGCTAAGATTCCAATATTTATCAATGTTAATAAATGGTATAGCAATTGAGATATTAATCAAATGGAAAAATAATAATGATTTACAAAAACAAGCCGACATCCTCGACGTCCCATTCTTCAAAGCGAAACGCATTACTGCTTCAAGACAGAAATAGACCGAGGGATAGTATCTACCCGTGCCAGTTCACAAGACGCCTTACCACCAGAAATTACGCAAGGAATTGTTCGAGATGATACCGGCATCTCGTTTTTACCATCGCACCGCCCGCCACCGGAGTAGAGTTCATCCATACTACCTGGAGCCACTGCGGTCATCCACAGTGCGTTTCCAGAGGTCTTTTTTGCCACGTACCATCCGGCTATGGAATGAGCTCCCCTCCACGGTGTTTCCCGAGCGCTATGGCATGTCCTTCTTCAAACGAGGCTTGTGGAGAGTATTAAGCGGTAGGCAGCGGCTTGGCTCTGCCCCTGGCATTGCTGAAGTCCATGGGCGACGGTAACCACTCACCATCAGGTGGGCCGTATGCTCGTCTGCCTACAAGGGCAATAAAAAAAAAAGAATAATAATTAATTTTGTGAATTTTTTTATTCATGGCTTGGTGTTAACTCCTTCATCGTGTAGGTCATTCGTAAAAATGTTGTAGGTAAGTATTTTATAAGAAATATTGGTAACCGGCTCTTAAATCGAACTGGGATTCTATCACCCACCTAGCCGGATTGCGCGATGAGAATGCACCGGGCGTTTTATCTTTTAGGGCCACTGACCACTGTGCGCAAACTTTTTTTGACTAAGACTCCTTGAGAAGAGAGTAAAGGACAATGCCCATTTTCTATGGGCGTTTGGGCCCCTAAAAAAAGTTGTCCTGTCATGATGGTTTTAACTTAATTTGATAGACAAAGAAATATCGTTTCATATTCAGAAAACTATTTTTATATTCTCACCCAGGTTTAAGAGAAATCTGTTTTTATCTGCAGCTAAAATTAAGTTGTTAATTGTTTTCTTCGAAATCAATAATCGCTCTCATAATTATTTACAGTATTGAATAAGTTAATTGTGGTTAATGTTGCTAGAAATAAGCCTTTACGTACATTTTATTATTATTATATCCTCATAATAATAATAAAATGAAATGAAAATCCGGAAGCCGGCAACGATATTGTTGTTGTTGTTTTTAAATTCACCAATAAACAGGCAAAGAGCGTAGCCTATACAGCCTAGTCTGTCGAAGTTATATATTTTTTATGTCAATAAAAAGCCGGTGTATCTCTTTTTATTGCTTTTTGGGAGTTTTGACGTCAACTCGACGAATACCACATTGACTGAGCATGAGTTTACGCAGACCTTTTATACACAATATTACAAATACAAATATGTAATACAAATTACACAATAAACTATTAAAAAAACATTAAAATAAAAATTCAAGAACCCTTCACTTGGGTTGCTGCCAAAACTCTCTGATCATATATAATAAGAATAGAGTAATGGTAGGCCATTGATATTTTTACTAATGGAATCATTAATATCTAAAAATATTAAATAATTCATGGTTTTAAGTAATAATTATTATTACAATATATAAATATTGAATTGAAAAAAAATAAACTAAGAAGCCTGTGAATTATAAGCATTAGCAATTTTTTTATTCGTTGTTCAAGTCACAAACAACTCTTTCGTTTGACAGCATATAGGTTTGCTATAAGGCTGTATGGGCTAAGCCCTTTGCCTATTGGCGAATTTAAAAACTATGGCATGGATAGTTTTGGGATGTTATCAAATAAGTAATTTATTTTTTTGGAAAATAATGCCAGGTTGAAAGAAATGTTGATACATAAACTAAACAACGTGAAAAAATAAGGCATAGTTTTTCAAGTACAAATAGTTTTGACATAAAGTTGGTCCACTTTTGGGCATTGTTCTTTTTTAAATAAATGTTCACAAATGAGGTGTATTTTATTACTAGTTTGATAAATCCGGTTCCACATAAATATTTTGAAACAAATTGTATTAAAACTCTAATGGCTTAAAACGAGTTATTATTTTACCACGGAAAATCCCAATTTTGACAAAATTGATTGTTAAATTAAATCCGAAGCGTACCATCACGAATCAAAGCTAATAGCCTAATAGTTAAACTGCACATATCATAGGAAAATGGATCACAAATCCAACCAATATCATTTGAATTATGAAGAAAAAATTAAATTTTATCGGAGAAAAAAATCCTTTAAATTTTAACGTGGTTGGAAATTGTTTTTTTAAATGTTAATACATATGTCTATTTTTTTTCTTGCCTCTTAGTTTGCACACCACTACTTTAGGCCATTACGAGTTCGTGTGCATGCGAAATATGAATTTACATTTAGGCGTGGGCTAGTTGACAGCTAGGTCAGTCATTTGAACCGGGCATCAGGTGAGACGGTGTTCAGCTTCCCCGTCGAGCACGGTATTACTCACGATCGGTTCTCCGTCCTTTCTTGTGAAACATCGGCTACGATTGGGTCCTACGGGATGTCCTGGGCATTACTCTCCGGGGCCTCA